TTCCCAGCAGGTAGAAGCAAATGCTTGATTAGAATTAAGATGTCTGTGTGGGTGTCTGTGAAAGAGAGAGGAATATTTATTGTGGGAAAGCTAGATCAAAGAGATGAGCTTTGCATTTAGTTCCAAACACTGTGAGATCAGTGGCCATTCTTATCTTATCGAGAAGGAAAAGTCTATATATAATCTTAGTTCTACTCCTGTGAAAATGCTGTCTCCTGTACTCACTCACTCCTTCTCCCACTGGATAATAATACCTAGCTCCTATATAGCGCTTTTCATCAATAGATATCGAAGTGCTTTACAAAGGAGAGAAAGAAACATCATTATCTCCATTTTACAGATGTGGAAACTGAGGCACAGAACAGAAAAGTGAGTAGTCTAAGGTCATCCAGCAGGCCAGTGACAAAGCCAAGAACTGAGCCCAGGTCTCCCGAATCCCATTTTAGTGCTCTAGCCACTAGGCCAGGGGTTCTCAAACTGGGAGTCGGGACGCCTCAGGGGGTCACAAGGTTATTACATGGGGGGTCGCGAGCTGTCAGCATTTATAATGGTGTTAAATATATTTAAAAGTGTTTTTCATTTATAAGGGGGGGGGTCGCACTCAGAGGCTTGGTATGTGAAAGGGTCACCAGTACAAAAGTTTGAGAACCACTGCGACTAGGCCATTGTCCTGGTGGAAGGGAGGTGTTGTGAAAAAGCATGGCTGTGGCAGAGGGACACTTTCCCAGGTAGCTAGAGACAGTCCTATGGAGGGCTTTGAATATCAGGACAGAGATTTTGAACTGGATTCTCTATTCACTGGGGCACCACAGCAGAGAAAGGAGCATAAGACTGATATGGTCATGGTGACCTATGTTGTTGCTGTGTTGTGTACTAGTTGGAGCTTTGTCAGGGCACATGCTTTTCATTCCTCGATATCTGAGTTGCAACGATCAATCCCAGAGGTCACATATGCATGTGTCACTGTGGCCAGTTCTGTATCTGACAGGGCAAGCTTCTGGCCGGCAAGAGTGGAATATGGGTGTTTTGTGCCATCGTAGCTTTCTGGACATTTGGTAGCAGTGAAAAGTCCAAGAGGAGCCCAAGGTGGCTGAATGATGTAACAATCTGATGGCACATGCACTCAATAGATAGGGATGTTTAGAGAAGGTGAGCTCTTCAGAGCACTGCCCTCTTCTTGCCTTTCTCACCTCCATTTTGCCTGCATTCAGCTTTAATCAGCCAATTAAGGAATGGCATTAATGGGCTCAGAAAAGGAATCCTGTCCAGTCTGCTTCAGCCAAAAGGCTGATGGTCGCTCAGTGATATCTTGGGAAGAGGGAGGGAGAACACAGTGGAGTACTCTTTAAACCCCCTCACCCGCCCCCCACCCCGTTCCTAGCAATCCGAAACATTTCACACTCATTACCTTTTCTAAAAGTGAATAATTAGTTCCTTTTCTTGCTCCTTCCTCTGAATTTAGCCCATTTAGACAGCCAAATAAACCAATCCCATATGAAATGTCATAATCCAGTGAAATTGTTAAATAAATACACAGTATAACTACCGCAAAACAGACGCAACAATGTCAGGCATACATGCCACCGACACTGTAATTAATAATTGTCTCATTTACTGGAATTAAATATGCAAGCCAGGCCATATATAAAAGCATACAGATCCAGTTAAAGAAATGGACATTAAATGGAACATACTGTAGGTTAAAATCTTACCTCTAAATTTGCAAGGTATTTGACAGGATTTTAGCCATGAAACTCTGAAAACCTGCTTCTTAAATATTCAGGGAAAGCGGAGCTATATGATACCATTCCCCAGTGCATACCTGCGTATTTAAGGCTGTAATGTCACTTATCTGCAATGATTCAGAATGATTCAGAAAACATGTAAAGTTATGACCTGTGCCTTTAATTTATTTCAGTCGGTTCCATGCTGATGAAGTGATCTATCATCATTGCTACCATATTACAGTGTATGTATTCTTACCAGAAAGTTTAGCCACTGCAGGGATGGCTGGACTAGCGTAACCCTGGCATCCAACAGCATACAGACTAAACTATAGTTTTAGTTAGGGAGTATGGAAACTGATAAATTATTGCTTGTGGTCTTCTTCCAGTTTTCAAGTGCAAACATACCAAAGTTTATTTTAAATTTGAGCCAGTCAGACATTTAGTAATATGGATCAAAGAAGAAATGAAGGCCCCTCCATGTTTATTATTTCAATATGATGTCTGTTCTAATGAAGTGTAAAAATGCATGTGCTAGACTATCTAGTAGGAATTTTCTGGTTCTGTAGTTTAGCCTTAAATATATACATATATTTGTAAATTAATCAGAAACATATTGCTGTGGTTTCAGTTCCTCAGAATGCTGATTGTTTTCAATCCTTTCTTTAATTTTAGCAATATGGTGGCAGTTTGCCAGAACACTTTCAGATAAACAGTCCACTTCACATTTAAACAGCCTTAGAATAACTGATGTTAAAAATATATATATATTTAAA